TGTCACAACCTGACTCAGTGAGGAGTCAAGTAAATCTCTACTGTATACTTACCTGGTGTAGGAGCCAGGTATGTTTTTATCATCTCTCAGTTGGGGCTTTGTCTTCGGGCAGAGTTACTCAGTTGCCGCTCCATCAGAGGACAGAGCTCAAACTGAGGAAAATCACACTGTGAGATGCCCTGCCCTGGGGAGCGGATGTCTGTGGCTGCACCCTCTCATTACACCATAGAGAGGGATCAGTGTTTGCACTGAGGCCTTTGCAACTGATCTTTCCGGGGGCTTGGGGAATTTTTATCCTTAGCCCGAGTGTACATGCTCAGGTTCCCCACATTAAACTGACCTTGTGTCACAATCTGACTCTGGGGGTCAAGTAAATACCTACTATAAAGTAGAGTTGAGGCTTTTTAACCATAGAATCCGTGGGAGAATTGAGCTCCAATTTCGCATTTATTCATTATAGATTAATGATTAAAGGGAAGCTACTCCGTCTGACTCTAAAGAATCCAAGCGAAAATTTCTTAAACGCATTTTTGATTTATTAACTATTCTTTCTCAAAATTTCACTTACAAATGTTTCTTCAATAAAAAAAAAAAGTTAATTTTATTTACTTCTTTCTTTTGCACACACAACTTAAAGAAAAATAGAGAAGAAAACTCTTTAAATAAACAACTTTTGCATGTCACGTCACTGACATTTAGTTTGTTTTAACTTTCTTTAAATTTAATTTTTTTTTTTTTATCGTATTCATAATTTGTTTATTTTAATTTTCAATTCTATTTTTTGTACACACACAAGAAATAAAAACTTTTAGGAACAAACCAACAGTTAAAAAAAAAAAAAAAAAGAAAGAATTATGTGAATTTTACTGCGGAAATATTTTCACTTGAACATGCACACACCACAAGTAAAAATGGTTTGAAGAAGTATTTTTAGGTTTGTCAAAGTATCCTATTATAATTGTGCTTGTCCTTCGCTAGTTCACACGACCGTTACGCCCTGCCAATACCTCATAAATATTGGACTATCACGTTTTGATCACGTGCAAAGAGCGGAAAGACACTATTTAGTTTCAGTCAAAGAAAGAAAGAAGGGAAGACAATCAGATTAAGCTTATAAGAATAGATACTACATTTTGATCTTAGCCAAAAGGCCGTGAAATGTAGTCGACCATGATAACAGTGCCATTTCTCGATACGAACTCCCAAAATCCAGTTACCATAAATAAAATCATACAGTCTGCAGAATTATTTTAAAATTATTACTGAAAGAAAAGTTAAGACGTGAATTTGGAGAGTTAACATAAATTAAAATTAAGTTAGCAAAGGGAGATAACCTTTAGTAGGCTTAATTTATTTATAGTTATGGTTATCTTCCTTAAACTGAAAATATTGTAAACTAAAATGTAAAATAGCAGATTGGTATCCAGGAGCCCATGAACGAGAAAAAAGTGGAAAACTTTTGTTGTGGTCGAAAGCCTTTGACAAGGTTTGGCATTTAGGTCTTCTCCCCAAACTGAAAAGTTACAGTATCTCCAGACACGTTTTTTAGCTGATCCAGTGGTTCCTGTCAAATCAGGAAATGAAAGTTGTCCTGAACAGTCATTCATCTACAATCTTTTGTACAAACACAGGTGTCCCTCAGGGCTCCATCTTTGGTCTGACGCCGTTTTTAATCTTCATTAATGACCTTCCTGATGACATCAGCTCTCAACTTGGCATCTACACTGATGGCACTACCATTTACTCCTGCCTTGATAGTAAGGCTGATCAGTCAGACAAAGTCAAAATGGCAGCCGATGTACAAAATGACCTCAGGACCATCATTAACTGGGGCAAAAGATGGCTTGTCAATTTTAACACCCCTAAAACTAAACTTCTCTCCATTAATCATCTGAGAGATATCACTCTTCCTTCTATCAGTATGGCTGATGCTATCTTTGAAAAAAGTAACTCATTCACCTTCTCAGGCTAATGTTATCAGCTAACATGAGGTGAAAAGACTATACTGAATCCATTGCCTAATCAACTGCTAAGAAAATCTGTTCACTGTGCCAGGTAAGACAATTTTTCTCTATGTATCCTATCTTGCATATCTGTAATTCTACCATTCATCCATGCTTAGAACATGGCTGCCATGTATGGTCTGGTGCCCTTCCTATTTACCTAGAGCTCCTTGAGAAGATCCAAAGAAGAATCAGCAATATTATTGGTCTTGATCTGGTGACTTGGCTTCAGTTACTTGCCCATTGCTGTAACATTGCTACTCTGTGCCTTTTTTTATAAATACCTTCATGGTAATTGTTCGGATGAGCTCTTCGCTATGGTATCTAGACTGTATGAATTTAAGCACAATACTAGAATGTTGGCAAGATCCCATCAATTTACAGCTGAGCTAGCTATATGTAGCCGTAACTTTTATGGTAACAGTTTCTTATCTCGCACTTCTCGCTTATGGTACTCCTTTTCAGCTCCATGCTTACCAGCCAACTTTAATCTTCAAAAATTTAAATGCAATGTCAATTGCTATCTACTGTCCTGATTACTCTTTTCTCTTTTCACTCATTATTAAGGTTTCTGTTTCTAATTCCTCCACACTATGTAACCCTTTACGTGCTAGTAGCTGTACTGCCTTGCTTGGGATGATACTGATAAAAAAAATAATAATTAATTCACTCATAAAATGGACTTTATAAAACTTTAGAAAATATGTAAGATATATCACATGTCTCTCAGACTAAAAGGTTTGAAGACCTCTTGCCTAGGAGGTATTGATAAAATTGAAAATTTTAAATACCTTTAGACCATGCTACAGGGTGGATGCTGGTCCAGAGTGAAGGATCCATTGCCATTTGATTCCAATGTTTGGACACTTTGGCACAGTGAGACAATTCCAAAGGGTTCAAGAATGAGAAAACATGAAGCCAAACTTCATCAGGTAAGTTGTAGTCAACAGAATTGGTTTCAACTTTCTCATCTTCAGTTTCTTGGAAAACTGGATCTGATTTGGAAAAAAAAAAAAGAAGAAATAAAAATCAACATTTATATAAAATCTTGGTAATCCGTATGGATAATCCCAAGGAGGATGAAATCCTGAGAACTCAATGTTAAGTCAGAGTGAATAATTTAATTTAAAGAAAAACAGATCACTTTAAGGTTCCATTTGTAATAATTTATTTCACCAGAGAATTTTATTTTTCTCTGGATCTTCAGACTTCACTTTCAAAAGTGAAAAGAAAAAAATTTTTTTTTTTTCTTCTTTTCACCAGAGAAAAATAAAATTCTCTGATTAAATAAATTATAACTAATGGAGCCTTAAAGTGGTCTGTTTTTCTTTAAAATATAATATATATATATATATATATATATATATATATATATATATATATATTACAGTAATTATTATAGGTAAAGAAATGGATAATAAGAAATGGTATAAATGGAAAATATATTAAAATAATTGTCGAACATTTCATTTCATAATATATTATAGTAAATGTATATTTTACATGTGTGCGTGTGTACATATATAATTTAATCATTTCACCTAAAACAAGGCGATAATGCCACAAAGGTGCAAGGGGCTACTGGGAGTGAAAGAGAATGAAAAGGACTTTAGAAGGAACTAGAAACAAAGGATAAACCTCAACATATTTTATATAGTAAATGTATAATATTTAATACATATGTATCTTGTATGTGGGGGGGGAGGGGATAATTTTGTTATTACTGAACACATGATAAAACTGTTCAGAAAGAGAAAGTCTCTCAAGCCTGAAGTGAACTAGTAAATTAATTGTGAAAAGTGTAGGCCACCTACATTTTTGGGTGATTTTTTTTTTCCAAGTTCAGAGGGTGACACCAAACTTTTGGCCTATAGTGAATGTAACAAATGTCTATATTCTGTCAAATCCAATGAAAAACCTAGTTGGATGATATTATCAAGTTTGATTACAATTTTAAACTAAAAAAATATCTTTCTGGTACACCTATAATACACTTACTGTATCTAAAATATCATAAATATATCATTTAGTTCTTAATTTATATATATATATATATATATATATATATATGGGCGCATGAGAGAGTGGTTAGAATGTTTGCTTTCTGACCATGAGATCCTGTAGGAGGCGATCCCATCTTTGGAAAGTGCCTGAAAACCATACCATGGGTTGACCCAAACCTTGTGAGTGAAATTGGGTAAACAGAACCCTTGGGGGCTGTTGATAGCTGTGCTAGCATGAAGTCATAAGTCATCATGACCAAGGGTTTGAGTGTGCTGACCTTGTTCAGATTATTGATCACACTAGATAACATGCTCTCTCCCAGAAACTGTAATGAAGGTCTGCAATAAGGAATAGTTAGCTGCCCTAATAAACTGCTATCCTCAAATACGAGTGGCCAGCTATAATTATATATTTTCTATTTTAAAAATATAGTTCCATTGCTATACAGGAATTACCATGTTTCAAAGCAGAAAATAAAATTTTAATTATAAAATTAAATTTAAAATCAATAGCTCCATTCCATTCTCAAGCGATTTTTGGAATAACATATTAAGAATTTTACTTCATTTATAAGCATAGACAATTTTAAATTGTAAAGGTTCCTGAAGATTCAATCATTTTGATAACTTATAACCTAGACAACTTATATTTGATACATAAGTTGTCTAGGGAAATTAAAACCCAACCACCACTCTTTATTTTACTATATATACATGTGTGTGTGTGTATGTATATGTATATATATATATATAGCCTTGAGTGCTCTATGTAAAAAATTGAAAAGGCCAATATTAAAATTTGTTACGTGCATTTACTGAATGTAGCAACATATAGTAAATGACAAAATAAGGAAGTCACATTGATGAAAAATTAAATGTAATTTACAGAACTAAATATTTAAAAATGTATTCTTTATATTGGCTAAGATCATCATCTTTGTTGTTACCACACCATTCTAGCCATTGATCCCTCTAGGCTTCTTTAAGTGTGGCTTATGGTCACATCATGTTGAAGCACCAGTTTCTGTATGGTCACTGAAGTTAAGCAATGTTGAGCCTGGTCAGTACCTAGATGAGTGACTGCTTGAGAATATCAGGTGCTGTAAGCTTGGATGTGTGGGTGGTTTAATGGATAATGGCTCAGAATTGTTAATCAGAGAGCCAAGTTCCAATTCCAGTTGGGTCCATTATATTCTTATGCACAAATACCCTTGGGAAAAGTAGGATTCCACAACCCTCCAGCTATGGGTTAAATAGTAAGACGTATCACTAAACCATTATTAGTTAAAAAAAAATTCTTACAAACTAAAAGTATTTTAGCTTTAACTTGTAATGGATTGATAAGCTGTAGAAAAGCAAATCAATCAAATACTGATTGGCTCAATAGACATGTCTTTTATATTTATTTACATTCTCTGGAACATAAATGACCACAAAGTAAGGGATCAGTTTAAATATTGATTGTAATATAGAATTGATCCCGCACTTTATATCCACATTATAATTTCTTATTTGTTTATTAAATTCTGAGTAGGTATGAATCCACCTCCTCTCTCCCCAGCAATGGGTTAATTAGTAAGACTTGTATCACTAAATCATTATTATCAAAATTATATAATTTTGCTATGCTAATCTGGTCATGTTCCTACTGATGAATTTTTGAAGAGAAAAGTTTACTTTTTTTTTTATCCAATATTTAAAACAAAAAAACAAATCCCAAATGTAAAAACCTGCTCTTGAATTAATTCCTGAATGGCTGTCCCACAAACCTAACTTCACCTTTATGAGGGATATTTTGACTTAGTATAATTAAAACTTAATAATTATAGTTAATAATATAGTCATTTCCCTAAGTAATCTCCCATATATATATATATATATATATATAAATTTAAATGTTGTGACTCAAAATCTGAAAGAAATACAAAAATTACTCCATTAGCACTATGGGATATTTTCATACTCCTAACAAATAAAACTGCTTGCAATTCACCAAAGTATCGTGACTAATACCGGAAACTTCTTGCGGTTACTGAACAGATTAAAAAATTTACCTTGTCATTTGTTAATATTAAGAAGAAAAAAAAAAGAAGCATTTGGTGGCATGTCTGAAAGATACTAAGAAAGTAGGACATATTGATACAAACTACTACTAATAGTGAATGCGCATAAAATATTTGGATCAAAATATACCCCTTGTGTAAAAAAAAAAAAAAAAAAATCAGAAATACCTTAAGCATTTTTTTAAGCACTCTCATACACAGAGAAACACAGAGAAAAGTATATATTAGAATCGAATATGTATTACTTAGGAGGCACGGTGGAGGAATGGATAGTGGCTCTGATTGAGGAATCGGAGAGCCGAGTTCAAATTCCAGTTGAATGCATTACATTCACTTACGTGCTAATACCCTTGGGAAAGGTATGAATTCTCTTCTCTCTCTAGCTATAGGTAAATAGCAGAACAGATTAGGTTACATAAGGCTTGGATGGCAACTGGTCTAGGAGAAGGACAATTCTGAATTCAAAACCTGCAGAGGGTCATTTGGGGATCTTGTGGTACATGGTGCGCCAGGTCTGTGTATTCAGCTCTTCAAAAAGTGTGGTTGGTTCTGCACAAAACCTTCACCACTATAATCAGATCATATGTGCTGGTGTCTGGCTGTTGGTTCCTAGGAACTGAATTGCCTGACCCTCATACGTCATAAAAAGAATTCCCTGGTAGTCATGGGTCAACAGCTCACGTCAATCAATGATGGGAGAGTCCACAATGTATTACTATAATTTATCCTATAAATTATCATAATTTATGATTATACAACTTATAATCAAAGACATCAAATGGCTACTGATATCAAAATCAATCACTTCAAAAGACTTTATAAATTTGAGAAATAATTAAAATAATTAAAAAGAGTGTGCTTATTTATTTACACACATACACACACAAAGACATATACAGTGGATTTTGCTTTAATAGAAAACATCGGAACCACAGATTTTGGTCCCTTTAAACATACATGTATAAATAGAAAAGATTTGCTATGTTTGATGTTGCACAACGGCTACTAGAAAGCAGTTATTCCTTCTGATGTTACATTTTGCCAGAATCCTTATAAATATTATCAATTTTAAATTTACATGCTTGTAAAATTAGTGTCAAGTACTCACAGTTTCTGCTCACGATATTCAAATATGTCTGCTTGCTTTTTTTGAAACACCAAAATGCCAGCTTGTCAACCTTGCAAGTATTTTCTAAATATAATACACCAAGTAGATTCTTTTTGTAATGTCTTGCTGCATTAGTTATTTCCATTATACTGGTGACACCAGATGGCAGTGTCTTTGTTATGATTGATAGACTGTTCCAAAATGTTAACAAGGTGGGAATGTAAAATATTTGGAAAGGACAAATTAAAATGCCAGCATTTTTGACAGCATGATTAAACTAGTAAAAATGTCCATGGCAAGTTGTTTATAATACCAGTACATTTGTATTCTTATAAAATCATCAATCTGCTAAATCTATTTGAAGCAGTTTTTTTTCTCTCTCTCCACATTGCTGGTTTGTAGTATACTTATTTCCAGGTAAATTCTTTAAATTCTTCAATATCCAATTTGTGATTGATTTTTGAAGCAAATTATAACCGGTACGCTACATTTGCATCTTTGTAAAATCCAAGTTATAGGTAACAACTTGAGCAACTTGAAAAGGGAACTCGTATTTAACAGAAGAAAAAGTTTACTCATTATGTGAACAATAAATGTTCATAATGTTAAAAAAAAAATAAATAAATAAATAAATAAAAGAAAAAAAAAATGTTGTTCCTGTTTTTGTTTTTTTTAAACATATGGTATTTCAGGCTCAAATCATTGTATTGTCACAGCTCATTTTGTATTTATGTGAATAAATAAAACTGGTGAATCAGAAAATGAAAATCCCAACCCAAGGGTATTTCTATTTATCTAATTTTACTCACAAAATATTCCTAGAATATACTTGGAACAGAATTTCAGAAAACTAGTGTTTATAACTAATTAGAGTGGAAAAACCAGTTTGCAACACTTCCTGTTGCTAGTAATTCTAGGAATTTAAGAAAGAAAATGGTGAGGGAAGAGAACAATTCCAAGTTGTAAACAGCCATATCCTTTCCCAAATTCATTGTTAAAAAATTCACTGAAAACTTTCCGAAGAAAAATAGAAAAACATTTTAAGAGGTTACAATAGGTCATTTGAAAGTTATTCTTATTTGAATACAGCAGCTTTTCAGTAAAACTTTTCTTAAAAAGTGGCAGATAGCAATTTCTAATTATTTATATTGTCTGGACTGTTGTCCTAATCTTTATTGCTTTTTCAGTGAATAAAAGCGTTGGTTGGATCCAGTCACTTGACGCAAAGAGTTGTAAGTTCAATACCTGGCTACTGCAGTGGTGAGCAAAATTTTGGAGAGTTGAGTTAAAGGGAGATAACTGAGACATCTGGAAGAGGCATGGCACGTGGATCTAAAACAATCTACCTCGGTGGATGAAATAAAAGCTTCAGTTCAAAATTCCACTCACCTGAAGTAGTCCAGGGCATACCACAGCCGAAATGTTGTGAATATGGCAAGAAAGATGAGGACAACAGTCTGAACAATGTGAATAATGTAAATAATTACAATACCACATTTCAAAAATATAAACAATTTCTAATCTGGGTGGCAATGCTGATTTCAATAAGAACTTAAAAATTAATCACTAATAAGAGTCTGAATTTCTAGGATTGATTTTTTATGGTTTATCAAGCCTTTAGGTCATTTAAAGCCAAAACATATTTTGAATTGTAAGAATAATTCTTTTTTGTGAGAGAATATTGCATTAACAGTTTCTTTGGGAATAATGATTTTTTTCCAGATAAATGTCCTACTGTTTAATCCATAGTTGAGGGAAGGAGACAGATTCATAACATTCCCACACCCATAGCTTTGAGTACCGTGCTCTCAGGAACATCAAGGAAGTGCACAGGTCCAATTTTCTTCAATCTGCCTAACTTCCAAGGAACTTTATTTAAATTTCCATATCCATGTATAAATTTCATTTTTTTTTTTTTTCTTTTTACTGCTCAGTTACTCCTTGTCCTGTTTTCACTGAGTCTGTTAAAGTACTACCCAGCCCATGGATTTAACTCACTATTGCTATATGTTGTGCCCTTGTTAGGGCCCAAAATAAGGACACAAAGAGAGGAATTGAGTTAAACAAATATATTAACAGAAACAGTAATACAAACATATACAAACGAGAGTGTTACAGCAAGAATGTTTGGTCTGACTGTCAGAGCTGACTGCTGGAATCTTCCCTCGCCAAAAGGCAGTACCTGCTCCTATTTATAGCTGGGAGGGTCCATGTGAGTGTGGGTAAATTACTATAACACCCTCCTCCTAAGTATTAACTCTATAGGAGTTTCAATACCTTTTTTTGCTTTGGGTTAACAGCAAAATAAATCTGTCATTTTCCTTTTCCTCTTTGCTTCAGGGCTGCTTGAGGTATTGGCATGTCAAAAGTATCGTAAATGACATTCATTACTTCTTTTTCTTCAGGAGGACTGCTATCAGCATCATCTGACAGGCGTTTCCTGATTTGGTTCAAACGTCTCTTGTGAGTAATCTGGGGACCTCTAATTATGTAGACCAAGGGTCGGCAACCTACGGCCCGCGGGCCGGATCTGGTCCGCGAAGGCATTTTGATCAGCCAGCGAGACTGATTACCAATGACTATTTTTAACATGAGAGACGACCTTCAAATGAAATTTGTTATATGTCATTTTCCATAGAATGTCTACACATGTCAGTGCACTAAAAATATTAGACTGCCAGTTATCTTTCATGAGACTTATTTTACAAAGTTGCGTTGCCTACGTTTAATGTCAAATAATGGATACATATTTATGACCCTTGGCTACATTAAAAGATAACTGAAGCGAAAGGAATGATAAAGTGAAAGAGGCCAGGGAGGGACTGACATGCGAGGTAGCAGAAATCTAAAGACAGTTAAACATACGTGCATTATACATACATGCCTCATGAATGTGTGGATCATACCGCATGTGTACATACGTAAGTGTATATGTT